CATTTTTTTTTGAGGTTGCACTGTTTGAAGATGAGGTAATGTAACCATCTACCCAAGCCTAAGCTCAGGGCTGAACTTGCTGCACTTGCTGAAGAAGCTGGCAGACTCTCTCGTTGATCATCTACCTACCCATGGGCCCAATTGTGATACGCCACCCTTCGATAATTCTTCCGCACCGTCAGCACGAATCGCACCAGGTCATCATACTCGAACGGGCTGGAATTTGCGTATTTTGCGTACTCGCGCGTACTCCTATCCCCTACATTGTCTCGTGGAACAAGTGCTTGAACATGTAGACGGCGTACAGCGGCTTCTCTAACTCGGACAGGCGCATCCCGTTGAAGTCGTACCTAGAAAACCCAAGTGTTCGAGCAGTACAGTGGCGTTTTTGCATCAGCAAAACACCCACGTCTCCAGCTCCTCAATGCGATCCCTGAGCGTGATCTTCTTCAGCTTGGCCACCTCGTCGCGGTTGCACACCGAGTGGTAGGCCAGGACTTCGAGAGCGACACGATTTTTCTGGAATCGAGGGAATGGCGGTTTCTTGGCAAGTCAAGCAGTTCAGTGGTGTCCCACCAAGCGAAGCCTCCGCCTAAGCGGATCCCAAGTTAATCCTAAGCTAATCCAGAGCCAAGCCTAAGCCAAGCCTAAACTCCTTACCTGCTCACTCCTCCTGATCTTGTCGTACAGCTTGGCGTGGTGCAGCGCCAACCCACAGTAGACGGCAAACATCTAGAGATCGGATCGATAACTCCAATTAAGTAAAAAAATACCTCAAATGCATCCTCGTCGCTCTTGTTGAAGATGCCGTCGGTCTTGTTCACCATCTGGACGACCCCAATGACGTGATGGCGGATGAAGATGGGCATGCACAGGATGGAACGGGTACGGTAACCCGTCCGTTCGTCAATGTCCTTGTTGAAGCGGGGGTCTGTGTACGCATCTTCGATGTTCAGCCCCTGGCCGGTGGCGGCGACAACACCGGCGATGCCTTTTGACATTGGGAACCTAGGGTTTGTATTTCGATTAAGCATAAGCCTGACTAAGCCTATGCCTAAGCCTAGACCGAAGACAGAGGGAAAATGAGAGAGAGAGAGAGAGAGAGAGAGAGAGAGGGAGCGCGAGAGAGATAGAGAGAAAGCTTAAAAAATGCCGTACCGTATCTCCTTCTGCCCGTCCTTGTTGATCTTGACGTGCTCGTCCGTCCCTTGCCCCACGTCAAAAATCCGCGCGTACAGCTCCTATAAATTCAATTCTAATTTGTGTCCCAAACTACCGTACCTCCGTCTTGGAGTCGACGAGAAAGAGGGAGGCGCGCTCGGCGGACACCAACTTCTGCGCGTAGTTCATCACCTTCAGGATGACGGCGTCCATGCTGACAATGTCTTGGAAGATGGACCTAGAATTCAACGTCTGGTGAAGCCGATGAGATGAGCTACTTGGCGACGTCGAGGAGGAAGGAGGAGAGCTTGCGCTGGCGGGTGAACGAGTCGAACAGGGTGCCCTCGGAGGCGAAATGGGTGGCCATCTGAGACGAACGGTCATCTCTCTCTCGCTCGTTCTCTCTCTCCCTCTATCGCTCCCTTTCTCTCTCTCCCTCTCTCTTTGGCTCTCTCTCGTTCTACCTGCGCATAGTGCAGCACCGCCGCACCCCAGCAGCACAAGGCGTTCAGCATCTGCCGATCGCGGGCCGTCAGCGGCGAGTAGAAGCAGATTTCGCCTAGAAAAGTGGATTTCAACGAGCGAGCGGAAGCGAGAGAGAGATAGAGAGCGAGAGAGAGCGAGAGCGAAATAAGGTGTGAATGTGAGAAAAAGAGAGATAGAGAAAGAAAAAGAACCACCAACCCAACGAATTCCCAGCACAATCGGTGAGCATCTGCACGTAGGCGGGCGTCTTCGCCGAGTTCTTTTTGCTCTGCTAAATTTAGACTACAGTACGATTTTTTTGCGATTTTTCCCTTTAGCCTAAAACCCCCGAAAACCCGCTAATCGTTCTCGGGATGAGAATTCCGCGACGCTCCGGCTAGCCCGGCTCATCCGGCTAAACAACGCCCCGGCGCTACCGTATCCACGCGCGTGAGTCAGCCCGATTTGGTGAAAAATGGCTGGCGCAAGGTTAAGCCTCCGCCTAAGCAAGACCCCACCTTCTTGAGCTTGAACTGCTGCTCGGTGCGGCTCTTGTAGACGACGAACGCGCCCTCGTCGTTGTGCACCACCAGCTCGAGCATTTCGCTGGCCATGCCGACAAGTTGGCCACAACATGCGGTCAGCTCGTAGAGGAGGCGCAGCTGGAATTGGTGTAGTTTGTAGTCTGGCCGGATACCAGTGATCATTTGGGAATGAGATGAAACATGACCTTTGTACGGTTGGAAAAAATCGAAAATTAAACTTATAAAACTCGACGTGATACGTTATTGAATTATATAACGAAGAGTAAACTAAAAAATACAAAAAACATGAAGATGAAAGCAAAAAACTAAAATTAAAAACCGAAAAATTGCCTCAAACCCTCTGCAAATCACTTCTATGGCTTTTGTAGCGGAAGCTGATGACTAAATAGAGCATCCAAAGAGAGTAGATCACTCGCAAAAATAGATGGCACCGCAAAAATGACAAATAACCACACGAAAAAACGGCAAGTTCACCTACCGTCTGGTCACCATGGTCGAGCAGTATGCGACGACGGCTGCTGAGGTCTCGATTCTGAAGAAATTCTAAATTACGGGCGGATACCGTAACCCCTACCGTCCACGGGGTGGAGGGCAACTCGAAGCTGCGGAGGGAGTCGCCGCGCTGGGCGCGTCGGCGCTGCTGACCCCAGCGGCTGAACGCCTCGCGGCTGACGGCTGAGGAAGTCACGTAGCGCTCCAGGAACTGAAAAAAGGGTACTGTAGGCTGAATTAAACATCGAAACAAATAATCAAAGCGCTTTTTGGACTTTTGAGGGTACTGTACGGTGCTGTACTGTCAAATCCCCTTCATAACATGCTGTAGTGTACTGTAGCGTATTGTAGCGTATTGTGGTATACTGTACCATAAGGTATCGCATCCCATGCCATCGCTAAAAACAAAAATGGAATTATCCTACCTCGGGATTCGTGTCGAGAAAGGCGGTCACCCCCGCCTCGTCCACCATTTGGCCTACAAAAACGAAAAATTCTGAGCATGGTAAATTCCATTGAAAAATAAGGGACCAATACACAAATTATAGACATAAATTGCCCCAGTATAGAACTTGGAGCATTAAACAGGAGATAATAAGATTAGGTTACTGCCGCTTAGGCGATGGAATATACGAGCGACGCCGTCGATTGGAGCGTAGCGTACAGTTTCAGTGAGGGCTATTCAAGGCATATAAGCAAGTGTAAAAGCAGAATTATTCATAGCAAAAAACAACTCAGAGGGCGCTGAAGGTCTAACGCTTGCAGACAATCAGAAAAAAGCAAAAATTTGTATATCTTGGATTTTTTAGCGGAAATTTAATGCATTAAACTTTTCGCTCAATTACTTGAGAAATGAGGCTAGTCCCAAAAATCGAAAGCTTTTCCGTTAGAATCCAGGGCAGGAAGTAAATACCGCTTCGCTACACCGTTTTAGCGAAAATTCAGCGAAAAGAGGAAAAATAGTTTATTTTGTGAAAGTCAGAACAAAAATAAAGCTTAGAGGTTTGTTAAAGCTCTAACGGCCGCACTATGACAGCTATGTTATCTCAAGGATGGCTAGAATTAGGGCCCGGAAGCGGATCTGACGACTTGACACCTCCGAGTCATTAGTATGGCTTCGGAATCTGGCGCTCAATAGGAAAATTTAGCACATTTTGATGTTTTAACAAAAAATGAGGCTTATAGAAAATTTTGAAGGTTCTAACGGCTTCTTCTCGAAAATCTAGAACCTAGAAAGTAAAGAGCAAAATCCGAAAGCGGGCCAGGAAGTGAATACCGCGTCGCTACACCCCTTCCGCACCCCGAGTCATTAGTATGGCTTCGGAATCGGGCTCTGGGCAAGGGGATGGAATCCCTATTCGAGGTGTCGGGATGGCCCGGGATAGCCAAGGGATGAGCCGTCACCAGGGTAACCCTCTAGCCTCCAGAAGAGAGTGGCCCATGGGCCCTAAGCACCTTAATTTCATGGCCAACACTCGCCAAATTCCGGGATGATCCGCTCGGCAGTGATGACGCACGGATACTGTAGCCGGGGGATCTCGGGGGAATTCTCCTGGCTGTAGTCGGATGAAAATCGAGTGCCAGAGTACGAAGCGATACGCCGAGTTGAGCGGGGCAATACGAAAATTTAGTTTGCTAATAGAAATCGTTAAATTCCACGAAAATTGCGGGGAGGCGGGGTAGTCAATTGGTAAAGAGCTACCTGCCAGCCACAAGGCCGGGGTTCGATTCCTGGCCGCTGCAAACTCTTTGCTTTTTGGCAGGAAGCTAAGAAATTATGTTCTTTCCCCTTCAATTCAATTTCAAATCCGATACTTTCAATAAATTGCTCGGAATTGACTAAATTTAAGTTTTAGAAACGGATTTTAACCTTTTTTTAAAGTTTTTCCCTTAAATATTTAAATTTTACTAAAAACGCTGGCTTTTCTGGACGCATACAAATATTTGTCTCCCCGATAACGCAAAAGCACCCTGAAATCTTTCGCAATCTTTCGTAGATGATCCTCATTTTCGCGTCCAGACAGAAAGCCGATGAAGCGTAACGCGTGATCCGGGGGATGTGGATTTTCCTTAGGCGGCAGCTGGCTGGCTGGAACATCTCGATTCGATTCGCCCTCCCAGGATTCCGATCCTTCCCTCCTGGCGCTGACAATCACCCCCCCGGTCATCACTATCCCCCGCAAAAAAACCATAAAAATCAAGCTTTTAACGGAACCGGAAAGGGGTGGTTAAGCCTCTGGATTTTGATGGGCCCGCGAAAGGCAAAGCTTGTAATCCTTTACGCAACGAAAAAATTGTGTTGCGTTTCGGAAGCGTGAAAAACCATAGCCATAAACACGAAATTACTAATTACGGCTTGCCCATACCTTTAAGGGGATGGTGCCAGGTGCCAGGGCGGTGGGTCGAGGAAGGACTTAGGCTCAGGCTTGGGCTTAGGCTTGGCTTAGGCTTGGCTTAGGCTTGGCTTAGGCTTGGCTTAGGCTTGAGCTCACGCTTGGGCTTAGGCTTAGGCAGCCTGTCCTCGGCTTCACGATGTACATAGAAAGTACTTTGTAGCTGTAAGTTACACAGTCCATGTATCATACAAACTGCCTTGTCCCCTATCTTCTTTTCCCCTCGTTATGAAGAAGATCTCGATCTGCAGGTAGGGGCAGATTCAAGTTCGAGACTGGCTAATACTAGCCAGCCGTCGCTGTATTACCCGTTCCACTTATCGCACCTTTCACTGGCTAGCCGCCTCGAACCGAATGCGATACCTTTCCAATCACCCAGCCACCTGTTTCACGCCCAGCTTGAAGCGAGCAAGAATCGGAGATCATTAAAAATACCGAAAGTAACAAGGAAAAGCCTACAAAATGAGGAATACTGGCTTGGCTGCATGGTGAAACTCTCAGCTTCCGCTTACGGACCCTGGTTCGACTCCGGCTGGGTGCAGAACTTTCTTACTTTTTGTCCAATTGTTGGAGTTTGGAGGTAGGAGCTGGGAGTTGGGCTTTGGGGTCGGAAACGAATTTTTTTGCGTTTCGAGCACTTGACTACTCATGGCCGAATGGCTAGGATCTCGTTTCCCATCACGATCCGCGATCGCCTCCCAGCCGGCGTGGAATCTTCTTGGTTTTGCTTTTTTGCTTTTCCGAAGCCGAAGTCAAGACGTAAGCCTTAACCCAAGTCGAAACCTAATCCAGATTCTAAGCCTAAGCTTAAGCTTAAGGCTCGGTTTCTACTCGATCCCCCCAGGAAGTCGTGCTCTTCGGCTTTTTCCCTCCTTACTACAGTGCTCTTTCCACGTTCGGGAGTGGCAGAACCCGTTCCGCCTTTTTCCGACTAAAAATTCCGCCGAGTTGGTGGTGGTGGTTGGGTTGTGATTAGCCGCGTTGCGGGCAGCTGGCTGGTTAGGAGGGAAGGAAAAGCGGCGAGCGGGAAGAAGCCTTGTTGCCACCCTCCCCCACCCCTCAACCATTCACTTTCGGAAAAACGGATCGACCGGGGTGAAGGGGTGAAAGTGGAGGAGGGAGAATGATAGGGAGGAGCTGATGTGAAATCGAAGGAGGAATTTGAATCAGTGAAAGTGTAAACTGATGTGAAAAAATGGATTTTACCGGGTTGGGATACTGTAAGAGGGTAATTTGAATAAAATCTAGCTGTTGGGAACGTCCTATGCAAAGCGAAAGATCTGCGAATCGGGGATCCGAAGCCTTGTAACGAGACAGAAAGAGAGCGGGAGGAGAGATGAGAGAGAGAGAGCGGGAGAGAGAGATAGCGAGAGAGAGCGAGAGACTGAGAAAGAGAGCGAGAGAGATATAGAGATTGAGAGAGTGAGAGCGAGAGCGAGTGAGAGAGCGAGAGAGAGAGTGAGAGAGATCCAGAGAACGAGAGATCGAGAAAGAAACCG